AATTGTTTTGATCCAGGTCTCTGGTTTGATGACTTTGTAGCTTCGATTATTTCTTTCAGACAGTCCAATGATGGGCTCCATGTCTTTTCCCCCAGATCCAATAGTCAATGTTTACAATGAATTTCAAATTATTACAATTAACCAATAAATCAGAATCGCTGATTTCTGATTAGCTCAAAGCAAGACCTTCAATATTTGGAACGTCATTGCACTCGACGTCTGAACAAAGTATGCCAGTGTTGCATTATGTTTGAGGCGTTCCTCTATACAAAATCGTATGTTGACTTTTTGTCATCTCTCCAGACAATTCGTCGCTGATTTTCTGTCATATCTTGTTTGTTGGTATGGGTACTTTTCCTGAGAGTAGCTGCGACTACAAAATCTGTACTGATTACTAGCTTCCTGAGTATCTGAAATCAAAAGTGAAATTACTATTTTTCCTAACAGTTTAACTAGGCAATCTCAAGACACTTCTAATACAGGTCATTCAACAATCACTCCTCCGCCAATTACATCCGAGAAAGCATACAATTCTCTACGCCCTCTAGTTCTGAGAAAAGGTTAAAACAAACCATAGAAAATAATAGACTCTTTTATATTGTGTTTATCCTATACATTCTTTACAGTGAATAGGGATATAGTCAACAACATATCACAGACCGTGGTTAAAGTGGGGTTTATATACACGCACTGATATGCATACCAGTAAAAATAATCATTGCGGTATGATATATCGGTTGGGCCTTGTGTAGTCTGGTGGTTAAGATACTCTAATCGCGATTTACATGTTGCAAGTTCGAATCCCCACCACTAAACATGCCCGTTCTTTCAGCCCTTTTCCAAAGATACGGTCGTGGGTTGGCCCTGTGATAGAGCTCTTTATGTCGGAGCTGGCAAGCCGTGTTCGAATCCGTAAAATACCACAATGTATCTCCGCTATTTTAAGCTTTGTGTGCGTTATTAGAGTTACAGCAAATCACTTAGTGGGAATAGTAGAATGTGGAGTACTGCTAACTGGCTGCCTTACCCCTGGTCAGTAATTAAAAATTAGGGATGGCAGCAGATGGTTTTAGTAGCATTATCATAACTACAAGACAGAAATACAAAAAATACGCATATGGCATCGTTTGCAAACCACTTGAAATACTTGTTTTACATGGTCAAACCACCTATGTAATTAAAAGAACAATGTGTGTTAGTCAGCCTATGCGTATACGCATGATCGCTAAAACTCGTTCACCTGGAAATGCAATATCCGTATTGACTAATTGTGTATAGATACATTTACGTTTATACGAGTACAAAAGTGAACGACGTTTAACGTGTATTTTTCTATATGAGTGGAAAACTATGACGTTTATAACATTAACTTTAGAGGCAGTTACTCCAGTAACATAAACAAATACGCAAGAAAACACATTAAGTTAATTCTTTACCTTGTTTTCGTAGCTTATAAATAACAGAATACCATTACATTTCAGTGCAAATTCAAAAGAGCGCCTGAAAACCGACAAAAGTTTAAAAACGCTTCACACAAGCACAAATTTAGCAGCTATGCATTCTACGGTACTTAGCCTTAATGGTCAGTGCCACAACTTTATTCATTTTCAATGCTCAACAATTAACAGATTACGCGAAAGAAAATAATTACGGGTTTCAGATGATATACAAATGCAATTTAGACACAAATACACACAAGATATTTACAAACAAAAACAACAACATTATGACAGTTGATTTTTACACGTCTTGATGTCATAATTTAAAATATTCCCTATTTCATAACAATTATACGTCTTCAACTATCTTAATACAAGCGCCTAAAAATAGACAATTAGGCCTAAGTTATTGTTGGAAGTAGACCCGAGCTTTGCTAATATTTTAAGGGAGAGTATAAAAACAGTTGATATTGTTGCGTCATCGAGATCACGTGACCATTCTCACGCCCTCTAGTTTCTAGAACTATCTTGTTCCTTCACGAATGCCCTAGCATTTACTAGATAGGGTAGTCTGGTATATAAAAGAGGGTGACAACGTGACGGGAGAATAATGTAATGTGTGTGTAGATAGTGAGTAATTGATCTGCAGTCAGAGAATATTATTGAGCACGTTCATTGTTATAGCGTTTGTTTTAGCGCGATTGTTGAAATTAAGTGTATCGTAAAGTTGTATTCGGAAAGAATAAACCAGTTTTATTAAGTAAAGACTTGTGTCGTCAAAGTTTCGTTGGAACGAAGTTACGGAAAAATCAATTAACAAACGGAGACGTAACAATATCAATATGGAATGAAAAAGAAGTGAAATATCGATAAAAAGACAGTTGATTTTTACAATTCTTATTACTATAGTTAAAAAAAATACTATTTTATAATTATCTTACAATGTCGCTTTATCAACAGTTCGATTAATAAAAAAAATCCCAAAAATCTTAATCAAAGATGGTGGTTATCCAAAAAGACAATGTATTCATACAAACAAGGGGTAACCCTCAATAGCCACAGCTGTAATTATATATCAAATCGGTCAATAGATAGAGCTATGAGCTAAAACTTTGTACTTGAAAAAAACAAAAAAAACTCAGAGCCATTCTATGAGTCGCTATGCCACGGCTAAAAATGTGTACAGAGAAACATTTCGCTTATATTCATTCCATGTTTTTATATTACATCATAGGACATGATCATAGGTTCATCTTTTCCTCAACACAGCCTGTGTTCTAATGTGCTTTCTTTTTTGTGCTTTTTGAGTTTCTATTCGCCTTAATTGACTGTTTTTTTTTCTTTAGTGCTACATTACTTTTGTCTTCTTATAATTTTGTTCAATCCACCTGATGACAACTTCATTTTCTCTAGCACCACATTTTTACTTTAGGTTACTTTCAACAATACATACCAAGTAAAATATATATAGTCCAAAGTCCAAACATTTCTTTTTGGACATTTTTTCCAACTAACTCAATGGCTACTGGAGACACTATCTGTTCATGGACCTGACATTCAGTTATTATCTCTTACTTAGTAGAGTACACGCAAGCATGTGACAGGTCTCAGATTTCATTTTGTAGTAGGGTACTTTTTATGATGTGAATAAATTAGTTTCCACAATTTTCTTGAGCAGTGCTGGACCATGGTGTAACTATACCCTAAAATTAAGTAATGATGGTTCTGCTTTCATGCATCAGGAAGCTGGCTCTTTTCTGTCAGTTTCTTCTCCAATTCAGGTTTCTAGTGTAGTGATTTTTTTTTCTATTGTGTGGAGTCTGTCTTTCCTTTGGATGATAATAAATAAACTTAGTATTCCGAAAATTGTTTAATATTGAAGTATAAGTTTAAGGGAGATCCATTTCAATTACACTTTGATCAACGTATGTTATTGGGTTCACAAACAACAATATGTTTGAAGCTGGAATGGTTCCTACAGAATTGTCCAAGTACCCCAAAGCACCAGACTGACGTTAAGGAGATATTTAAAGAACCCATGCTTTCTAACTTCATCCCATCTAACAACATATGCATACAATCGACTCCACTGCATGCTAGAGTCATATAGATTAATAAGGAAGACATCACTCACATCCCAGGTCATAAAGTAGAATTGTATGTTTGTTTGTTATGGATTTCGCGCAAAGCTACACGAGGGCTATCTGTGCTAGCCGTCCCTAATTTAACAGTGTAAGACTAGAGGGAAGGCAGCTAGTCATCACCCTCCCCCTCCAACTCTTGGGCTACTCTTTTACCAACGAATAGTGGAATTGACCGTCACATTATAACACCCCACGACTGAAAGGGCGAGCATGTTTGGTATGACAGGGATTCGAACCCGCGACCCACAGATTGCGAGTCGAACGCCCTAAACACCTGGCCATGCCGGGCCATAAAGTAAGATACTGCACATACACACACACACAGGTTCAACCCAACTGAAAATTTATAGAAAAGTAGACCGCTATCTTGAATATTAATTTATATTATTCTTTCTTTATATATATTTACTAAAGTTGTTTTGGCAGATATCATGTTTGTCCAATAAAAAGCCACAAACGGTCGTTATATTAGCATAACTTGTGCTACAATCTAGCGACCAAGAATGAAACTGTTATTTATGAAACATAGAAATAATGTATGCTTATAAACTGAACTCGCTGCTAACTAATAGTTTTCCTTTTTATTTTTTCCCCACAAAAATATCTGTGGTAAAAGAACAGAATAATATTACTATAATACAGCAGGCTTTCTACATCGTTCCTCAAAGTTCACTACTTCTGATGTTCTTTGAAGTGGAAGTATTATCCTTACAGCCTCACATCTTGCAATGTCTTATCCAAATTTGACTATAATTTTGTGGTTTGATGTGATCATGGTCCTGATGATGATATCTTCTTCCTTCACGTCCACGACAATTATTCCACCAGGACACGTTGGGATGTTTGGCTGTGTACAGCCCAGTCATTAGATGTAAATTTATATTTAACAGTTCTTGGTAAGAGTTTCACTTCTTGGTGGTACAATGACCACTCTCGTTGTTACAGGAAGTTTAGCCTCTAGTGTAGCAATTTTCATGTAGTGCCCAGGAATTTCCTCATCATAAACTGTGAAGCTATTTAAAGCCAGACCAACCTCACATCCCTGACTCTGCATGAAGTTAGTTCCTGATATGCATTCTTCCTTGATTTTAATTACTCCTACACCATGAAGCACAAAGAAGTTTTCTATTGCAAAGGCAACTTATTCTTGCTGGAAACTTATGTCCATTTGTTGCTGGCATCACTCCTTCTTCTTTCTTCATATCTTGTGGCAGTTTCCCACCTTTCATTACCAAATGGGTCAAATTATTATTGTAGTAGAACTAGTGTCGACCAACATACTGCAAAACGTCTTATCAATAAGCCTGTGAATTGGTTACTTTAAACAATAAATTTTTAATTTTATTTGGTACATATAGAGTATTCTCAGCTGAGCTTTGCCCCTTAAATCTAGCTTACCCCTGTTTTCTGATGTCTGGTTAGCCTTTGGTATTTCTTCTATCTGGTTGGGCTTGAAGACTCATCCTTTAGGTATTGTCTCCATGGTTTCTTACAGTCTCGGATGTATTGAATGGGTTTTCCACATCTATAAAAATTCATTCTATGTGGTATATTTTGGGAGGAGGTATTCCCTACAAGCTTTTGTCTGCAATTATTGGAAACATTTTACTGTTTTGTGATTTATTCCTTTCATACTGTGTAACTAGTTGTCTAACCAATCCTCGTAGTTCTTCAAGATTATCATAAGTAGGGATTCATATTTCAGTGTTTCTCAATCTGACAATCCACTAACATCAAAGTGATGTCTTTAGTTGTTTATCTGTTGTGCAAAAACTTCCTTAAAGATATACACCTACATTGCTTCAACCTAGCTCTCATATCTTTGTTTGTTGTCACCAGGTGGGACAACAGTAAGTCTTTTAATTTACAATTCTAAAATCAGGGGTTCGATTCCTTCGGTGGACCCAGTAGATAGCCTGATGTGGCTTTGCTATAAGAAAATAACACACCTTGTCTGTTATGATTGTGGGACAATGAATCCATCGCTCACAAGAAGCAGCTAGGTAAGATAATTTGAAAGCCTTTTCAAATTTTTGCCAATCTAGCTAAAGCCTTTTCTTCCCTCTGTACCCTATTCTAGAACTTTGCTCTGGATACCTTTTTTGTGTGTAATTCTCAGAACCTGTTGGAAAAGGCAACTATCAATGCTTAATACTTGTTGTGGCTCTCAGCTGGAAGGTTACTTAACGATGTTGAAGCTAGCACTTGTAAATGGGCAGCAATATTCCACCCATTTACATTTGAGATAGTTTCCAAGTGAGCCTAATTTGCATTACGTGATATCTTCCTATCATGGTCCAAGGATTTCTCCATTTGCCATTGTTGAACTGGCCAGCTAAATTCTGGAACAATATTTCAAAGTATCATGGTTGGAGTAGTTCATGAAAGTCCTTAAGTAATAGGTGACACAGCAGTAGCATTAATAGGTGTAGATCAAATAAATTCTACTGTTCCATATCAGGCTGGAACTCCAGAGCCAAGGCAAAAACAGGTGTGTATGTGGTTTAATCCTCAATCTAATATAATTTCTATATACATTTTTTGTTACCAATGTTCCTTTCTACTTCAATGAAACTATATTCTATCTCATTGATATCTTCCTTTACTTCACTTTTAACTTCATTGATATCTTTTTGTATTTTGCTTTTAACTTCATTGATTTTTCTTTATAGTTATTCAATCTTGGTACTATAATTTTTCCATACTTCTGCAATTTTATTGTTGAAATCTCTCTTCTTCTTTCAACCTTAATCCCATCTAGTTTTGGGGTCAGGTGCTTAGGCAGTTCTTCTCCAATACTTTCTATCCACCACATTCTTCAGTGTTACACCCACCTCTCTCATGTCTTAATTTATCCTATTTTGATCTATCAGTTTTTGATATTCTCTACTCCATCTACCTTTGACTGTCATTCCAAACTTACAAGGAATGCCTTAGCCATATGCCCATCTCTGAGCAGCCTGGGATTCACATATTGTATTAGCCAAGAAGTTTTATTCTCAGGTGGCTGGCTCTGACAACAACCCTCCTCTTTCATCCAGGCTTGGGACTGCCATGACCACCCAGGCTGGAATAAGCTCACCCCAGGCTTACGTAAAAGAGTTTGTTGTAATCTTTCTGTACATCGCCTAGAGCTTCATTAGTCTTTTCTTTAATCCCATTTATTTGTTATTTTAATTCTTCTGTAAATAGTAGGTCTATTTGTTTCAACTTCTCCCTTAAATTCCTATCAAGTTCTATCAATTTTCTGTCTTTCTCTTCCTAGTCTTCTTCTAATTTTATTTCTCATTCTTCCTAACCTTTTATTCTTTATCTCCTTTTTGTTTGTTCTCTTATAATTTTCTGTAAATTACTTCCTGATTTTCGCTTAATAATTTCATCATTCCAAGTAATGCTTCTCTCTCTCAATCTGTGACTCTATGATCACCATTTTCATAGTTGAAGTTCAACTCCTGTGTACTCAAAGTTCTATTTCATTTTCACTAAAATAATCCCACTCATGTCATCAGTGTTGTAGCATTGTTCTTTTATTGGTGTAATCTGGTAAAAAACTCAAAGTCAAAATCCACATCAAGGATAACTATCATACTTATTTCCTCCTTTAACACTTTTACAAGCTTGAATAATGTAAATTATTTTCAGTCACATTGTGCTACTATGTTAAGAGTAAGAAACAAAAATGATGTTTCTTTGCATAATGAAAGATCAAATCTTTATTAGAAACTTCATCTGACAAGTTTCAGCAACACTAGTTCTGATGATGGTAACTGTGTTACCGAACTTAGTCAGTTGAAATTTCTAATAAAGATTTTATCTTTTATTGTGCCAAAAACGTCCTTTTTGTTTCTTACTTTGGATAATGTGGTAACTTTTAGGTCACGTTTACAAATGACATTACCTAATTACACAAATGTAAATAATCAACTTGCTTGTAGAAAGTAACTCAATATGCGCCATAACTAACACAGACCTAAATGTTTTTCTAAAAATAAAATGATTTATATTGTTACGACAGCGGAGGTCACGTGACGTTAGTAACACGTCATATACTCGAAGGTTCGTGAATGCTCGAGCGTTTACTACATTTCGGTATTCTTGTACATCTAAGAC